TTGGGCTACCAAAATGTAGACGACCACTAGATGCCAGCAGTGCTTGTTGACATCTCATGGTCATTTAGACTTTTGCAGTGCAGACCTGGTAGTTCTGTTCTTCTAAGATGACTTTTTGCTGGCGATGCCCCGGGACCTTCGACGTGCAACCATTGGGCTAAAGGGAGTTAGTTAGTAGTTGGCCTACTTAAACTAAAGGCAGTACACTTCTACTAGTTGGGGACCTTCAAGATCCTTCTCAGCCTCGCTATCTGAGATCCTCTGAAATGCAGTAGCTGGAAATGTGTGGGAGGAATTTATCGTCTCTCTCTTATTTTTCTGATGGTGGATCGCTTGTGTGCGACATCCCACATCAGTCTGCTCTAGTGCCTTCTCTTCTACCAAGACTCTCTTTCCTTTTCAGATTATCATGAAGGGCCACGTCAGACCAGTAAGTACTCCTTTACAGAGCTTTCTTAAGCCATGGCCTGCCACTGTGGCACCCAATCTAAACTGTCCACTCTCACCCCAAATATACCGATTGGAGTGCAAGTAAAGGAGTATGCCCTAGGGGCCACGGCCACAACCAGTCGGTCGAAACTACAGGGACGTAGATGCAGGTTAAATGGTAGGAAGAGTTTCCAGCCCGTAAAAGGTGCCCCTCTTTTCTCTGGTCACCATCCGAAGTGGTATTTCACCAGAGTTCTTCAAACAGAGAGTGGAGAGCCATCTGTCTGGAATGCATTACCTACTCTTGCACCACATGGGAGTTTGGTTAAATGATCTCCAATGTTCCGACCCTATGATTATGACCACTAGGAACTGTTCTATAACGTGCAACAAGAATCTACCTTGTAAATGTAAAGTCCGTGCCCTGGACTTTAAAGAACAGGCCCTCCCCTTCTGTGTGTGGTATCGCTCTCTGTCCTAGAACAGTGCTATCATAGCCCTGCTCAGTCTTCTGTTCTCCAGCCTTAACCCATCAGTCGTTCCGTGAACGGCTTTGTCCGCCTTGGTTTCCAGGCCCTGCTCGTCCTTGTTGCACTCTTCTCGACCAATAGCAGATAGAGATAACGGCTACTGTCGAAATGTGGAAAATGTATGCTTCTTGATAAACGTCGGTTATGCCCCACCGAACACCCTGTGTTCATAACAGGATCTGCAAAATAGAAAACAGTGATTGATCGAGCACACCTATCAGTGAGCTCCAGCGCCTTCTTGTCTACCAAAATTGGCTTCCATATCTGAGATGCACTGTATCTCTTCCAGCTGTTGCTCCCACATCCAAACCTCCAACGGTAACCGGACGCTTTACAGTGAACTTCACCGCAATCAATTTGATCTATAGGCCAGAGATGGGTAACCCCAAGTCAAGGCTGTTCAGCTCAACAGAACGAGTCTTCGCTAAATTGGTAAGGAGACCCACGCGGACGTAGCCCAGTAGCTGTTCCACGTAAGATTTTCATAAACTAGTTGGCAACAGTGTTTTACTATCAGCAGTAAAGACGTCGATTTTCCTTTATACCTAGCTGGGACAGATACTGAAAAGCAGCGACATCGGTCCTGATTTTATGAACTGCAGCTTATCGGCATTAAGGTAAGGAATATGGGATGGAGATGGAGATCTTTTAGCGATGCCTGAATGTCCTGTTAAGGGGGGGGGAGAAAGGATTCGAACACGGACCGCTCCAAAGAACTTTTCTTTCAGTTCCGTTCTTCAGCATATCACCGTGATTCCCAGGTAGATCTCTTAAAAAAGCCTCCTTCCCCAATTTTCATCCCCAATGAAATGTAATTGCTTCTACCTTTGGTTCCATTCGCTCTGCTGGAGGCCTTATGTTTGGCTTCCTTTGCTTCTTTCCAAAACAGCTTTTCAGTGGAATTTAAAATGAAACCTTGCATTAAAAATACTGTATGAAAAGCTGCAAACTATACAATGGACCAGGTGTTGATAGAACTGCGTCCCCCTGGTTATCATGCATGATGCATGTAGCGAGCCATTCCAGAATGCGATGAGCTAGAAAAGAGCCAGCAAGGGCACCGAACAGCCAAACCGGGTGCGGGGAAAAAGTGAGGTGGCGCGCTCATGGAACAAACCAGTGTCAAGAAACAATCAAGGATGCAGAAATAGAGCAGAGCTGAAGTCCTTTTATACTTCTGCCTGCCAGGTGGATCCAAGGGCCACCCTACGCAGGTGGAATCAGCCTAAGGCCTGTACAGCTTCACTGAAAATATCTTAAGTTGGATCTTTTCCTCCTCAGGTCTCTGAATGAGGGGAAGAACACCGGAGTAGACACTGTCTGCACCTACCACAAAGTAGCTACAGCTCCCCCTTTCGACCCAGTGCACATATATCACAAATTCCTAAATGAGACCACCGGTTTCACCAAGATGGGGGCATACAACCTGGACCCAAACAGTCTTTTTGTTAATGGTAAGAAGCAGAGGTTTGCTTTTGTGACCAAAGACGTTATGAGGCTGCCTGGCACTGAGTCAGTTCTGACAAAGGTGGTCTGACGTATGGGACAGTGGCTCTCTGGGACCACCAAGGAGAGATGCCAGAGCGATACCAGATTTTCTCTAAATCTACCAGAC